CACAGCGTCTCTCTCCACCCCCCCACACACACACACCATGTGCTCTCCCACCCCAGCCCTTAGTGACAGCTTTGATTTTCTGTGTGCAGAGGCATCACAGAAAAGAAATGGCACCCCCCAAAGAGCCAGTGTGATTCCGAGCTTCTGTGCCACCTTAACAAGGGAGAGAAGTCCTGGAGAAGGGGCTACAAGTTCTGGGGAGAGGGGTGGGGAGAGGGGTGGGTAGGAGGGCTCTGCCCAGCAACCCCCCCCACTCCTGGTTCTGGAATTCAGACAGGAAGGGAGCATTCTCTTTGCCTTTGCAGTTCTCAGCAGCCTTCTGCTCCAGACAACCTCCAGGGGCACGAGGCCCACTGGAACCTCGCCAGCCAGGCCACATGTCCAGTTTACAGCTAAGGAAGCTGTTTGACTGACTGAACATGTAGTGACTTTAAAGAACCTTTCTTGATTGGTTTGTGTGGTTTTGGTGGAAACAGTGGTATTGGGCTGTGTGAATCCTTTGGCAATAATGTTGAAATGCAGTGATACGGTTTCAGAGATCCGCTGAACACAAGGAAGGTGTAGGCTAAGGGGGACGAGACAGATTTTAAAGAAAGCTGTGTTCACAGACGCAGAGGCTGAAGGGCACCGGGGGTTTATCCTCTCTACTTCCATAAGCTTGAAACTTTCTCTAGTCAATGCACTGACATAGCAGTAGCAGCAGGCCCGACAAAGACTTCAGAACCCTAAAAGTACACACGTGGTATCCCAAAGACCCCGCAAGTCCTCCATCAGCACCCACGAGCATTAGCCAGTGAGCCAGAGCCCAGAGAGATTGCTGCTGCTTTCTTTAGTGTTATCCAGAGCATTTATCTAAAAGAAACTTCCAGCAGAAGCTTCTGCTGGAAAAACAAGATGAGTCTCAAGTCACAGTGCTCCTGTTTATTCCACTGTTGCTGTGAGAACACATCCCATGCATTCTGCCTTGGAGGTTTCAGGCAGAACCCTGCGTGTCCAGCCTCCCTGTGGGTGTCCCTTGAGGCAGGATAGGGTGACCACCTACCCCAGAACTGAACTCGTAGGCCTGAGTTGTGGAAGGATCTAGGTTGCCCAGCTCTGTGGAGCTTCCAGGAACCCCCTGAATGTCCACTTGGTGCCTCAGCTAGTTCCTGGATCCCTTGTACGCGGGTATCCTGTTGAGTGGGTCTACTAGATCACATTAATAGTGACTTCAAAGAACTCTGGTCAGAAACTAGAGAACAGAAGGTGATTTCCTGGGTTCATGAAGGGTGGTAGTGTGGGTGGTGGACATGTCGAACCCAGGTTGTGGAATAAGACAGATCCTGCCATTACCAGCTGTTTGCCCTTGGTTGAGTAGCTCAGCTTCTCTGAGCACAGAGAAGACCATCTACCTCTTCCATCTTTGGGAGAGTCGAACCCAGGTTGTGGAATAAGACAGATCCTGCCATTACCAGCTGTTTGCCCTTGGTTGAGTAGCTCAGCTTCTCTGAGCACAGAGAAGACCATCTACCTCTTCCATCTTTGGGAGAAACAAAGGAAATCATGTGTGCTCGAATATGGTGCTCAGGGCCTTCAACAAAATAAGACCCGCCTAAGAACTCAAGGGCAGGACGTGGTGCCAACGAGGATCTCACTCTCAGGTCCAGGACATGGATGCAGAGCGAGTCAGGAGCGGGTGCTGGGAAGGAAACGGCCGCCTGGAGCAGGCGCTGAGCAGAGCCCAGGCCGGGGAGCTCTGCGGGGCGTGTTCCCTCGCGGCTCCTAGTTACCGGGCTGGGAAGCCCAGTGGGCCCTGAGCGGGGACAGGAGCCCTGCCTCCGTGCTGGCCCGCCACACCCGGGCCACCTCCAGCCAGGCCAGCGCTGCCTGCAGCGGCCGCCCCCTGTTTAAGGGGTCCACACGCCTGGACCTGGTTGGAGGGCAGTTCATCCACTGCCTGGGAGGAGGGCCGCATGGGGCGGGGTCACAGCACTGACCTGCGGGGGCTTCTCATCCCCTCCAGCCCCTGCCCCCACCTTCAGGTCCAGGCCCTCCCCATAGACGGTCACTCGAGTGGCCGGTGGGCAGGGGCGGCCCACCGAGGCCCACTTGAGCAGCTGGGGACCCCGGAGAGCCGGACGTTGGTTTGCAAGTACCCCTGTCCCTCCTCCCGGCCTCTCCGGATGTCTGGAAACCAGACGAAGGGGCCCGTCTCTTCTTACTGCCCGGGTTTGGCTGCTCGCTCCTACCGTGGACACTCGTTTTTATCGCCATTTGGAAACCTATCATAGTGGACCATCCTTGTGTGGACTTCTAGCTGTGTGTACTGTGGTTCCTACGTTGAGGTCCAGTGGTCATTTATCTGTAGTCCGCCACGTGGAGAGAACTCAGGTGCCCCAGCGCTGGCGACTGGAGGTGCCTGTCACTGTGATGCAGGGTTCTGGGTCTCTTCCAGGACCCTCTTCCCAGACAGTGGCTGCTATGTGTGTGTCTGTGTGTGTGTGTTGGGGGGGGGGAGGAGGATTTGTAAGGAAGCTACAAATGCCTTTCCTGGAATAAGGGAAACAGCAGAGGAACGTTCCAGAAGGGAAGCCTAAGCCCAGGGAGACAAGATATAAGCAGGGGCTCTGGCAGAGATCGGCTCTTCCTCTTTCAACTGTGGGGACTTTGGATTTGCCGGTGGTGACCTGATAGACAGGTAGAGAGATACAGCTCCTAACCCAAAAGATGGCTCTTCATTCTAGGAAGTGAGAGTTGGAGATATCGGAGGCCGTTAAGGCTCAAACACAGGGTCTTATTCTTGATTTCATATCATCCTTTTGGTTTCTTCTTCTTCTACTACTACTTCTTCTTCTCCCCTCCCCTCGCCCTCCTTTATCTCCTCCTTCTCCCCCCTCCTCCCCCTTCCTCCCCCTCCCCTCCTTTCCCCCTCCTCCTCCTCCTCCTCTTCCTCCTCCTTTAATTTCATGGAGAAAGTGGAGTTGGTTAGACAACAATGACAAACTCTGCCAGTTTGGCCCAGGCCGGAAACCACAGTCAGTGCTTGGTGATCCTAAGTCACCTCAGCCACCTCTCACCACCACCCGCTGGAAGGCGCCTTCTTCCGTCTCTACACGTGAGGGAGCAGTCACAGCGGGTAAGTGCTGTTCCCAGAGCCAGACAGTGAGAGGCAGAGTCCCTGGGAACCAGGACCCTGGCCTGGAGGCTGGGGCCACGCTGCTGTCCCCACCCCGGGCGGCCACCTGTGAATGATGCTCTCTCTGATTCTCTCCCACCCGTCACGGCGACTCCAGCGAAGCCGCCGTCACCCACATGGAACACCCATCCCGTCCGGCCCAGTGCGCTCCTGGGCTTCAGCGTGATTCCACATGAAAACCATCAATAGCAGAAAGCACCCAGCTCTGGTTTGAAAACACACTTGGAAAAGAATTCACTGGGAAGCTCCAGAAGCCCGGTGGTCATCCTGGCTCCTGAAGGGCCTCTCAGGTACCCTGTCGTGCGACGGAGGCCACCAGGTTCAAACTGTGGGTCTGGCTGCTCTTGCTCACCAAGAGGAACGGGGTTCTTGAATCCAGAGTCGAGGCTGCGCTTCAAGACTGACTTTGTTTTTGTAGGTGTTCCAAGATCTGGCATCAGAGTGGCAGAATGATTAAAATTAACCCAATTTTCTCTCATTTATTTTGCTAGCTCATACCTCTAAAAGACATGTTTTGGAAGGCACCCTTCAACCCTCCGCGGACAAACCAAGCTTTCTTTGGAATCCCGGAGGCCTAACCTCGACAGCGGGGCCCTCGTCAGCTCGGTGGCCTCCCCACCCGGAGGACGGGGGAAAGCGCCATCTGACTGGAGCTCACATTTAATGACAGTGTCAAAATTCAAACTTCACTTGCTTTAATCAGCTGCCAAGACTGTGAGTCTTCCTGGCTTGGATTTCTATAAACAAAGAATAAATTCAAATATGACACAGAGTGGCAGCGGCGCGTCCACCACTGAGCTAGGAATAGTTATGCAACCCCTGCTGGCCAGGCGGAGTTGGCATCTCCGCACAGGACTCTGTGCTGATCCTTCCAAACCGTGAGCGTGCAAAACGGTCCCGAGGCCCA